GGGTGCTCCTAGATACTGTCCTTAAGTCATGATGTGCATATGGTCATAATGTAATTTCATCATGACCATATTTAGGCATGTCACATGTTTCCATATCATATCACTGACATTACATAAAATTCATAGGCATGTCATTAATACAACGGTTACATTCAACAAAAAGGAATTTTTTTCAAATAATAAAAATATAAAATACCGCTGCAGTCAGGTTTCTGAATGGCGATGATGGGAGGTATCCGAGATCAAGCCACATATTTTTCATCCTATCAGCATTGCTTATTTGGTCTCCGCCAACAGGAAAATTATCAATTATCAAAACCCTGCCTCTGAGATTTGGTGATAGTTCATACGCCCCATTCTAAGGATTAATTTATAAAAAGATAAAATGTTTTTAATATTAATCATATGAAGTCGATTACAATGTTTTGTTGCATGAAGCAGAAATTATGTAGTTTTATGTTATTGTGCGAGCAGTTAAGTTCAGGCGCTCAACTGTAAAGTTGGGGTTTAAGGTCTGCACTGTGCATATCACTTGTGTCATTGGGTAATCTGCATTGTCATTCTGTACCCAGGAATACAAGTGTGTATCTAGTAGGGTTAGAATGCCAAGCTCTCATTACCTGCACAGCTGCAAAATTTAGAGGGATCTGAGTACATGTTGTAGGTGTTTAATACAAAGACCAATGAAGTAATGTGAAATGCATTCAAGGTATTCTCATGAAGTGCTATATACTGTAAGACTACCGTTATTTTATTCTTAAAACCCAAGACTGTTCATTTATAGGAATAATAAATAGGAAATTATCAAAAACAGAAAATGTATATGTATTATTTCTAACACAGGTACTAGAAGAATTAAACAGTACAGAAGTAGTCGAGCCTTCAATTTAAAACACACCAACAATTTATGATGACAACAACAAAGACCTTATAAACACAAAATAGCGCTCTCCGTGATTCTATGCATAACAAATAGAAAATAGAAGTGTGATGTTCAATTAAAAGAAACAAAAAAGTAATCACATTTGAGAGAGGGTGTCCTAGTTTTTACCATGGCTATTATAGAATTTACACGCAGGTGTGCTATATTTAGTTAACGACCTCTGATTTCAAAGTTGAAAAGTAATTTGCACATGGAAAAACATGGAGAATGCTATCTTGTTTTTATAAAATCTTTGGACAACAATTACTTGGTACAAATTATGTATGGCTCTGTCCACGCTATGAAATTATTTGCAAGAAATTTGTGCGGCATCATTCCTGATGATGACATGTAATTTAATGTCACCGTATTGAATCCCAACACGATTTCAAAACTTGGAGTACTGTATGTATTATACAGTCAAATGTGTGTCCATAAATAGGCATGATAATGTCCCATTACAACCAACTTTGGCATATCACATTTATTTGTCACATAAAAAGTGGACAGAACTAAAAAAAAAATAAAGCTTTGGCTGTACAGTATTGTGTACCTTGAGAATACAATATAAATGATACCAACATATTCAATACAAGATATGTTTAGTCATCTTCTGTGGAAAAACCCACAAATCTAAATATATAACATAAACCTGCAGTACACTACGTAAATAGTTCAGTCATAACATTATCATCATTACTACTACTGCTTACATCAATGCCATCTGTGGAAATTTCTTGCTCTTGGCATGTGCTGCTTTCTTGTTGATGGACATTTTGATTAGAACATCCTATATTAAAGAATAATTAAAAAAAAAAAAAAAAATTATAACAACCCATTTTAAACCGTAAAAGTGTACAGGCTTCGTACACAGAACCCTTGGATTGGAAGGCAAATAATTAGCCAGCAAGCAAAGCAACCAAGCTGTGCAATGAATTGTGGAGATCTCATCATTCCTGGTTCAATTCCCATCACTGCTCACCTTATGATTCAGCAGGAGGGCTGACATGCAAGTTACGAAAGTGCACCGTCTTTCGGATGAGACATTTAAACTGCTGGTTTCATTTAATATATGACCCATGTGCACATTAAAAAACACAGTACACACTTTGCAAAAAGAGTAGTACTGTACTTCCCAATTCACCACCAGAAAGACCGCACTGGAAATGAGTCTCACGACCTTTGGGGGTCATCCCTGGTGTGTATCACACCGAAAAAATCCAATCCAGCTTCCATCCAACTAGGCAGTAAAACATCATCGCTATATTTTATGCTTTTTATATCTTTATATGGTTTAACTGTTAATGAAGAGCAGACATTCATGATGATGTTGATGTTGAAGATGTTACCTTGAATTTCTCATTACCTGTACCACACTCGTCAGTTCTCATCTCAATATTATCAATACCACTGTCATTAAGTACTGCATTACCGATGACATTTCCTGACATCACAAGATCGGCATCTGAAATAATTTAACACTGAGCTATATTCTGTAGTTATGTACTCTATAGTGAATCCAGTAATGTTGGAAACAGATCATAAAGGTCAGTTTTAGAATATAGCATGAAATTCAAGGTACCTTATAATAATTAGCCCTACTATTATTAAAAATAATAAAATGATGAAATCGTAGTAGATACAATAAGACCAACAGCAATAGAAATATAAGAACAATATGTGAAAATAATAATCATAATTACTCACTAATTAGTTCAATAATAGGTCTTGAACAATATTTTATTATTGTGTGTGTATATATATATATATATATATATACTCTCTTATACACATATATATGTGTATAAGAGAGA